TACACTTACATAATTGGTCGCATTCGGAGGTAATCGTTATGCGGGGGTCCACTGTACTGCGTGGAATAGACAAGGTGGACAAAGACAGGATGTTCCAGGGAGGGGACACAGAAACAAGAGGCCACAATTGGAAGTTGAAGACACAAATGAGTCAGAGAGATATTAGGAAGTACAGTGGACCCCCGCTTAACGATCACCTCCAAATGCGACCAATTATGTAAGTGTATTTATGTAAGTGCGTTTGTACGTGTATGTTTGGGGGTCTGAAATGGACTAATCTACTTCACAATATTCCTTATGGGAAAAAATTCGGTCAGTACTGGCACCTAAACATACTACTGGAATGAAAAAAGTTCGTTAACCGGGGGTCCACTGTATTTCTTCAGTCATAGAGTTGTAAGGCAGTGGAATAGCCTAGAAAATGACGTAGTGGAGGCAGGAACCATACACAGTTTTAAGACGAGGTTTGATAAAGCTCATGGAGTGGGGAGAGAGAGGGCCCAGTAGCAACCGGTGAAGAGGCGGGGGCCAGGAGCTAAGACTCGACCCCTGCAACCACAAATAGGTGAGTACATACACATACACACACACATGTGGTAATGCTTTATTTACAGCTAGCAAAATCAGGGTATTTCTCCAGAATGGTCTGTAATATACCACTGTGGTTGTGGTCTCCAGGTTGTGGCTGTGGATAAAATACTTTGCTATTTCTTGAACATTTCTGAGTGAGTGGTCTCTAAATTCATTAATTTTATCGCACTCCAGTACATGATGATGCAGGGTGTGACAACAGTCCATCTAGCAAAGTTTACATTTCGTTTGGTCTACATTTGGTGGTGATGATTTAACCTGCCAAAGATACTTGTAACCCAGTCGGAGCCGGGCAGTAGTGACATCCAAGAGTTTGCTTATTTTGTTGGATGCACCATAGACATGTGGCTCCTCCTGCATGATAGAATGATGATAGATGGACTGACTGGTGTCAATCTCCCTGAGTCTTAAGTCAATAAAATTCAGTTGAAGTTCTTTTCGTATTATTGTTCTCAAACTACTACCTGACAAGCCAAGATTGTAATCTACTCCCTCTTTGAAAGCATACAGCTTAGCCAATTTATCAGTTCTATCAAGCATCCAAAGACCAATGTGAGATGGAATCCACAGCATGTTCACTCTGACTCCACTGTCCTCAATCTTACCATACCTGTGTCTGGTTTCTGACACAAGCATGCCACAATTTATGCTTAATGAGTTGAGAGCATTTATGGATGACAGAGAATCAATTACAATTAAACTGTCAATCTTAGATACATAGATGCATTTCAGTGCAAGGAGTATGGCAAACAGTTATGTCTGAAGGGTAAGGTGCTGTTAGTGTGCAGTAATTTCCAGCCTAGATAGAACAAGCGACCTGAAGAGTGTCATCATGGGCTTGGCATCCCTAGTTTTGAAGGTTCTCATTATCCATCCTGTCATTTTTCTAGCAGCTGCGATTGATACAATGTTATGGTCCTTGAAGGTGAGATCCTCCGACATGATCACTCCCAGGTCTTTGACGTTGGTTTTTCGCTCTATTTTGTGGCCGGAATTTGTTTTGTACTTTGATGAAGTTTTAATTTCCTCATGTTTACCATATCGGAGTAATTGAAATTTCTCATCGTTGAACTTCATATTGTTTTCTGCAGCCCACTGAAAGATTTGGGTGATGTTTTAATCTGCCAAAACATTGTGCCAAATTTGAAGGAATGAAAAATAAAATGTTGATCTACGTTTGGAGTGCTATGCGTGCATTTGTAGATCTACGTTTGGACAATTTAAGTTAAGGTTAAGAGCTCTTCATTAACGTTGTTGAGGGATGCTAAATTTAGGTGGGAGATGACAATAGTTGTGTCATCAGTGAGGAGAACAAGTCTAAGTTGCTGTGATACGTTTGGAAGATCGTTGTTGTTAAAGAGAAAAGCAGAGGGCCCAAGACAGTGAATACAATTTGAAAGAAATTCTATTGTTAGTTTGCAGTTTGTCTTGCCCCAGGTCAAAAGAAAATGGAGACATGGCCAAATAAAGTTAGTTACATCAAATAAAGTTTAGTTACTGCCCATAGTCAGTACAGAGTATTGACTATGGGCAGTGGGAGAAAGGTGTATTCTCTGGCTGGTTAGATTGTGGTGGAGCGAGGAGGGATGGTAAAAGGTAGGAGGATTATGATTGAATTTTGAATGTATTTTTTTTCATATTTGTTATTTTGACATGTTGTAAACAACGAGCTGCTAAAAAAATATACTACTGTACTTGGATGATAACCAACAAACTCACTCTCAACATAGAGAAAACATACTTCATGCTGTTTGGAAACAGAGTCTTAAATATCCAACTTAATATATCGATAAATGTTTCCCCCATAACAAGACACATGAGGGTAAATTTCTAGGTCTTATCTTGACTATAATCTTAAATTTTATTCCCACATCCAGCATATATCCAAGAAAATTTCCAAATCAGTAGACATCCTTTCCAAGATACGGTATTATGTACCCCAAACAACACTCCTTACCCTATACCACTCTTTAATATATCCCTACCTCACCTATGGCATTTGTGCTTGGGGATCAACCACAGCTAACCACCTTAAACCTTTAATAACCCAATAAAAAGCTGCTGTGTGGATGATTAAAAAATCAAAATACAGTCGGCCATCATTAATCCGGCCATCAGTCATCCGGTTCCATCAGTAATCCGGCACTAATTTTGGCTAGCATAATTTCAAATTTCATCATTACACTGACACAAGTTTCATCATTGTACCGACTCAGAAATTATGCAGATGGTTGTAAATCCACTGCAGCAAGCCAGTGGAGGAGAAAGCAGTGATGAAAATGAGGAAGATATATCAGAAAGCCTCTACTGATAGGTTAATCAAGTGTATTCTAACCTAACCACTCTGTAATCTAGCAAACTCACTAATCCGGTACACTACAGGTCCCAATGATGCCGGATTAGTGATGGCCAACCTGTAAAAAAGTTTATTTGTTTGCAAAGGTTACACTGTGTGTTTACATTTCATAATTTGATTGGTACAAAGAAAGCCACTATCATGCCAAGGCATTTTGGGCAGTCCTAATACTTAAAGACTACTTAAGTCTAGACAGTTGAAGTGTGGCAGATTGCAAATATTCAATATTTTACTCTGTTATTAATATGACCAATTCCTGTGCCAGACAGTACACCCCACCACTTTTCAAAAGCCTGAACCTACTAAATATACAAGACATACACTCATACTATTGTGCCTACTATATATATAGAACATTAAACTCCAATATAAACCCTCCACTTAACCCTTTGACTGTCGCGGCCGTATATATACGTTTATGAGGTACCGTGTTTGACGTATATATACTCATAAATTCTAGCGGCTTCAAATCAGGCAGGAGAAAGCTGGTAGGCCCACATGTGAGAGAATGGGTCTGTGTGGTCAGTGTTCACCATATAAAAAAAATCCTGGAGCACGCAGTGCATAATGAGAAAAAAAACTCCGACTTTTTTAATTAAAATGCCGACTTTGTGGTCTATTTTCGTATAGTATTTGTGGTTGTATTCTCATTTTCTTGGTCTCATTTGATAGAATGGAAACTATATTATAGAAATAGAGGTGATTTTGATTAATTTTACTATAAAAAGAACCTGGAAATGGAGCACAAAGTATGGGAAATGTTTGATTTTTGCCGATGTTCAAAAGTAAACAAATGATGTCATTGTCCAATAAATGTCCAAATAGCCATTCTAATATGCAGTCATGAATGGGTTGATGTAATTTTTACAATTATTACAGTATTGCAGTAGTCTGCATAACAGTAAATCTTCTATTTTTTGTTTGAATAAAATTTCAAAATAAAAAGCAAGAGTAATATCAGAGGGGCCTGGAGACATGACTGATGAACAAAGAAAATGTTATTTTAGAGCCAGGAATGTCTGCATTGTTCATTCTGGTCCTTATTTTGAAATTGTCATATTTTTTAATTTTTGTGAAATTGGCCAAATTGCAAATTTCTGACCATATTATTGGGTAGTTGAAATCGGTAAATTGGCAGTTTCTTGTACTTAATCGATGGAAAAAATGGAGTTTTGAAGAAATAGCTATGAGTTTGGTTGACTGGAATAATGGAATTAGCCGAAAATAGGGCTCAAAGTGGGGGAAATCGCCGATTTGTAAATATCGCTGAGGTCGCTAACTTCACGAGAGCGTAATTTCGTCAGTTTTCCCATCAAATTTCGTTTTTTTGGTGTCTTTACAATCGGGAAAAGATTCTCTATCATTTGATAAGAAAAAATAATTTTTTTTTTTTTTAAATTTTGCGACACCAGGAGACACCTCAGGATTGGGGGTTGCGACAGTCAAAGGGTTAAACTTCTCCTTGATAGCAACAACAGAATGCACAGTCACAATACAAGGCACAAGGCACTCTTCGACATCCCTCATGTCAGTCTCACTATACAAAAATGCAGTGCACGTAGAGGGCCCAAAGATCTGGAATTCACTACCTGAACCGGTAAAGGATCCCCTGACTACATACAAATTTAGGGCTATGCTTAAAAATCATCTCATCTCTCAGTTCTAACCAAACCAACTAAAACAACTTCTAATCAGTTTGAAGCAACTCTCCCAAATATTATATTATATGACCTCTAGTCTATTAAAACATCTGCTAATCCATAAAATATTGCTGTGTGAACCATTAATTGTAATATTGTTTTTATTATGTGCAACTTCAAGATCATTATTCTTATAAACCTCCACCTTGACTACCTCACATCAGTATTAAGATAAAATAAAGATTTATTAAAAAGTTAACCATTCTTATCTTGTCTAGACTTAAGTAGTTACAATATGTGGCTGTTTACTCATAATTTTGTTTTTACTGGAAGACTAAAACTGCTTTATTTAATATTTGCCAAGTGATGAATGATATGCATCATTAACTCAGATAAAAGCCCTGACACTACAGATGCTGTGGAGTGGGAAACTTATAAGGATGGCAGCACTTGCATCCAGAGTGAGAGCATGCTGCCGCCGCCGCCTGCACTGGCCTTCTCGGAAAGTCAGAAACACTTTCATTGAATACTTTAAGGACCTTGGTCATCATCATGTTCGCTCAAGTCCTGTGATCCCATGGAATGATCCAACCTTGGCTTTTGTTAATGCTGGCATGAACCAAGTTAGTATTACTTTGAAACACTATTGTTGTAAAATTTATAATCATCATTGTAAAAGTTATTGTATTGATTTGTTATTATTATTGACAGGAACCCATTCAGCTGTATTTTTTGTAAAATATATTATTTTTTCTGAATGATTTTATTTATTTAACTTGAGAAATTCTATTATTATAATGTTTTAATATCCAGTACAGTGGAACCCCGGTTTCCATCTTTAATCTGTTCCAGAAGGTCAGCCAACAACCGATTTGTACGAAAACTGAAGTAATATTTCCCATAAGAAATAATGTAAATTCAATTAATCTGATAAAGACACCCAAAAATATTAACAAAAAATACATTTTATAGAGAATAACTATAGTTTTACATACAGAAAACAATGAGATATAAATGACTAACAAAATGGATAAATTAACATTTAACATCACATGTATGCCACTTTCGTATTTTTCTATGAATTCTGTCTTGAATTCTATCATGTTTCTCACCTTTTTTACCAAAGAGCTGGCACTCAGAACTTTCTTTGGCCCCATGGTGGCTTATTTAGCAGTCGCAAGCAAAAAACAATGGATTATTACGAAATGCTTCAGATGAACACGTGGAGTAATGCTCACTGAACGAGTAACAAAGGCAGACTGAGTCATGAACGTATGAGTGGCCGCGTCCCGCGGCCAGGCGGATGCGTCTGGTATGGACGATTTCCGAGCGGATGTATGAAAATGTGGAAAATTTTTCGCTGAAAAAAGTTGTCAAAAACTGAATTGTACGATAACCGGACCAGACGAAAACCGGGGTTCCACTGTATTACACCTACCATCCGACTTACGACCGAGTTCGGTTCCGAGAAACCGGTCGTAAGTCGAAATGGTCGTAAGTCAAACTTTACTACTGAATATCAACAAAACATTTTTGTAATGACTTTATTTTATTGTTTTATTTTGGTATTTCATGTTTTACTATACTTTTTATGTTGTTAGTACTGTATTTTATACTGTAAGGTTTAGGATAAGCACTGTGTACAACACAAATAGTTGTTTATTTCCCAAAAATTTGGCATAAAAAACACGGTCGTAAGTTGAGTGGTCGTAAGTCGAGCAGGTCGTAAGTCGGATGGTAGGTGTATATTGAACCAGGTGTTGTTGATCTCTATGGGTTTAGTGATTCCCCATGAATGTAATAATAGTGCAGTATTAATAATAATAATAATAATAATAATAATAATAATAATAATAATAATAATAATAATCCTAGGTAGTAGATTGGTAGACAGCAACCGCCCAGGGAGGTACTACTATCCTGCCAAGCGAGTGTGAAATGAAAGCCTGTAATTGTTTTACATGATGGTAGGATTGTTGGTGTCCTTTTTTCTGTTTCTTAAACATGAAAGATTTCAGGTATGTCTTGCTACTTCTTCTTACACTTAGGTCACACTACACATACATGTACAAGCATATATATATACACACACCCCTCTGGGTTTTCTTCTATTTTCTTTCTAGTTCTTGTTCTTGTTTATTTCCTCTTACCTCCATGGGGAAGTGGAACAGAATTCTTCCTCCGTAAACCATGCATGTTGTAAGAGGCGACTAAAATGCCGGGAGCAAGGGGCTAGTAACCACTACTCCTGTATAGATTACTAAATTTGAATAGGGAAACTTTTATTTTTCTTTTGGGGCCACCCTGCCTCGGTGGGATACGGCCGGTTTGTTGAAAAAAAAAATAATGTTGCATTCATTGCATTTCTTGATTTGGGCTATGATCTAATACAGGTTGACCATCACTAATCTGGCAGTCAGTTATCTGGTTCCATCAGTAATCCAGCACTAATTTCGGCTAGCATAATTTGAAATTTCATCATTATACTGACTCAGATTTCATCATTATACTGACTCAGAAATTATGCAGATGGTTGTAAATCCATAGCAGCAAGCCAGTAGAAGAGAAAGCAGTGATGAAAATAAGGAAGATGTTAGCAGAAAGAGTCTCTATTGATAGGTCAATTCAGTTGACAGGTGAACTGTTAAAAGGTCTAAAGCAACGCAGTTTTATAAGTGAACAAGAAATAATGGTGTCCAGTAGCTCGATTGCTAGCGCACTCACCTCACACACTGAGGTCTGGGGTTTGAATCTCCTCTGGTATGGCTGGAAAACATTAGAGACGTGTTTCCATAAGACACCTGCTGTCCTTGTCCCTGTTCACCCATCAATTTAAAATGGGTACCTAGGTGTTAGTCGACTGGTGTGAGTCGCATCCTGGGATAAAACTGACCTAATTTGCCTGAAATGCTTTCTGTATAGTAGTATGTCATTGATGTCAGATAGGCTTGTATACCTTGTACATGTACTTGTAATAAATAAAGATATTATTATTATTATATTATAATGAATATTTATATGCTGCAGGATAAACTAATCAAAGAAAGGCCAAAATATAAGTATATTCTAACCTAACCACTCTGTAATCCGTCAAACTCACTAATCCGGCACACTACAGGTCCCAATGATGCCAGATTAGTGATGGCTGACCTGTAACACAACCAGTCACTGATGATCTAGTAACACAAATGCAGAATGCTGTACATTACACAGAAAACCTGCACATTGTTTTCTAGAATGAAAAATACTTTTCTGCACATGGGACCGATGACAGAGACCACTATCTCCTTGTGACAGCTGTTTTAACTGTATTGATACTATGTATGGGAATACTGATCAGCTGTACTGATAAAGACACACAAACAGCAATTGTAAACTTGAAGACAAAATTTCACCTTCACAGCTTTATCAAGTCTGATAGATTTTACCTGGTGCTAGCACAATTTTAATTTTAAGATATTTTTTAATTTTAATGAAACCTGCTATGCCTTGCATAATAATAAGGGGCTTTCTATAAAGTAGCTTATATATATCAGTTACTCTGATATATATTGCTATATATTGCTAAATGATTGTCATATATGGTACTTTACAAGAGTATATGAAAATAAGATCAGGGTAGCTTGATCGAGCATCAACATAGTGGCCTCAAACCTTTACGTAAAACAGTATATCTTTGATATACCTTACCTTTGAAGAGTTTTGAGAGTTTCTCTACTCTCTGAGCCCTGCCATGGGCCAAGCTTGTCTGGTGCTTGCCTGGTCAACCAGGCTGTTGCTGCTGGAGGCCCACTGCCCAACATATCCATCACAGCCTGGTTGATCTGGCACCTGGGGAAGATACTTGTCCAGTTTCCTCTTGAAGCCTTCTACACTTGTTCCAGCCATGTTTCTGATATCTTCTGGTAAGATGTTGAATAGTCTGGGACCCCGGATGTTGATACAGTATTCCCTTATTGTCCCCACCACACCCCTGCTCCTCACTGGGTTTATTTTACACTCCCTCCCATATCTCTCACTCCAGTATGTTGTTATGGCTGTGCAGATTTGGGACCAGGCCCTCAAGTACTTTCCAGGTATAAATTATCATGTATCTCTCTCTCCTCCACTCCAATGAGTACATGTTTAAGACTTGAAGGCATTCCCAGTATGTAAAAATTCTACCATATTTTTTGAATGATTTAATTTTATCATTTTTTTTTTCAACATCTCTCACTGAGGCAGGATGACCCAAAAAAAGAAAGCAACACTTTCATCATCATTCACACATAATCACTGTCTTTGCAGAGGTGCCCAGATATGACAATTTAGATGTCACTCCAAATAGCCAGCATCCCAAACCCCTCCTTTAAAGTGCAGGAATTGTACTTCCCACTTCCAGGACTCGAGTCCGGCTAACTGGTTTTCCTGAATCCCTTCACAAAATATTACCCTGCTCACACTCCAACAGCTTGTCAGGTCCCAAAAACCATTTGTCTCAATTTACTCTTATCTAACACACTCACACATGCCTGCTGTATGTCCACGCCCCTTGCACACAGAACCTCTTTTACTCCCTCCCTCCATCCTTTCCTAGGACAACCTCTACACCTCCTCTCCTCTACTACAGATTTATACACACTTCAAGTCATTCTGTTTTGCTCCATCCTCTCTTAGTGACCAAACCACCTCAATAACCCCTCTTCAGCCCTCAGAATAATACTGTACTTTTTTTGTAACTTCACACCTCCTCCTAATTTCCACACTACAAGTTCTCTGCATAATATTTACACCACCGAGGTACTTGATTATTTAGTTAATTAAGATATGGTTAAAATGCATGCCTCTCTGTTTCCACAGTTCAAAGGAGTATTCCTCGGTGAGACCCAGAGGGAGTATGCTCGTGCTACAAGCAGCCAGAAATGCATACGTGTTGGTGGCACACACAATGACTTGGCACAAGTTGGTACTGATACATTTCACCATACATTCTTTGAGATGCTTGGAAGCTGGTCTTTTGCTGATTATTTTAAGGTATGACAGTACTTTTAATTTACAATTTATACTGTATGGTCATAAATTATACATGCAGCACATAATAAACTAAGAGTAAATGGTTTAATACAACACAAATACAAATTTTGTTTCCAAATGTTATGGGAATTGCATGTCTGTAATGTTTTTAAAAAGTCCCATGTTGTGTAAAGCATTTCAAGAAGACTTAAAATAACAATAACAATAACAATTTTATTTTAGGATTATACATGTTTGTACAAAGGAGTGTAACAATTTGGTGAACATGCCAAAAGCCACTTTATATGCTGAGCATTTCAGGCAGACTTAAGATTAAACTCTCTTCCACTCAATGCTTCTCACTGCTTTAAAAAGTTATTCACTGATCTCTGATCATTTTGTCTGCAAGTGACAATTTAAAAAAAAAAATGCTGTATTTTATTATTGGAACTACAAATTCACAGAAAGAGGCTTGTTCAATGGCATGGAAGTTATTAACTGAGGTCTATAAACTACCTCCAAACCGTCTCTACATAACATACTTTGGAGGAGATGATGCTCTAGGACTTGAAGCTGACAAGGAAGTTGAGGAGATTTGGAGATCAATAGGGTAATTATCTTAAATTTTTTGATTCATTTGTTTTTAAAGAAAGCTTTCTAACAAAAGTATTCTCTCGATAAATTAGATAATGTAATTAATTTTGAATGCTTTTTCATTCTAGCTTACTCAGTCAGTCAAACAGACAGTCAGTTTATTTTCACATGATACACCATTTCTACAGAATTGGATGACATTACATCCCTCACATGAAAAGCTCCTTAGTTATGCAGAGCATTTCAGGCAAACTTTTCATCAGTATATCATAGGAAAAAATGGCTGCAAAAAAAAAAAAAGAAATGATTAAAGAACTGAAATGCCAGATAGTAAAATATCCATAGTCTAAGGGGGTTACATTTCTAGAGGTTACCATCATGGGAAAATCTACAAAAAGCAGGATGTGGTGTTTGAGAAAGTCTAGTACAGTCTCTCCTCACTTAATTAACGTCAGAGTTCTATTCCTGAGACCACGTTTAAACAAATTCATCGCTAAGTGAGGAGCATACTATAATGGTAGTGAGTTTGTGTCAACCATCTTTGATATTGTTTTAATGTCACCTTTGCACCATTTATAATATTTCTGGTATATTTTTAAATGTTTATACAGTAGTGTACTGTATATTGAAATAAACATAATAGAGGAAATCAGGTCTAACATACATTATTTAGGTATGAATACTGATCAGAGAGCCCGTCGTAAGTCTGGTCATCGGTAAACAAGTATGTCGCTAAGTGAGGAGAGTCTGTCATGCACAAGTCAGCCATTACCACCAGTAATACACAGATGACTGCTATGATTTTCTTTTCCGTCCAGTAGGTACAGTCATGTGTGGTAGCGGGTAATGATGAGATAATGATAATGGTAAATTTATTTTTTTTTTTATTTTTTTTTTTTTTTTTATTATCACACCGGCCGATTCCCACCAAGGCAGGGTGGCCCGAAAAAGAAAAACTTTCACCATCATTCACTCCATCACTGTCTTGCCAGAATGGTGCTTTACACTACAGTTTTTAAACTGCAACATTAACACCCCTCCTTCAGAGTGCAGGCACTGTACTTCCCATCTCCAGAACTCAAGTCCGGCCTGCCGGTTTCCCTGAATCCCTTCATAAATGTTACTTTGCTCACACTCCAACAGCACGTCAAGTATTAAAAACCATTTGTCTCCATTCACTCCTATCAAACACGCTCACGCATGCCTGCTGGAAGTCAAGCCCCTCGCACACAAAACCTCCTTTACCCCCTCCCTCCACACCCTTCCTAGGCCGACCCCTACCCCGCCTTCTTCCACTACAGACTGATACACTCTTGAAGTCATTCTGTTTCGCTCCATTCTCTCTACATGTCCGAACCACCTCAACAACCCTTCCTCAGCCCTCTGGACAACAGTTTTGGTAATCCCGCACCTCCTCCTAACTTCCAAACTACGAATTCTCTGCATTATATTCACACCACACATTGCCCTCAGACATGACATCTCCACTGCCTCCAGCCTTCTCCTCGCTGCAACATTCATCACCCACGCTTCACACCCATATAAGAGCGTTGGTAAAAACTATACTCTCATACATTCCCCTCTTTGCCTCCAAGGACAAAGTTTTGTCTCCACAGACTCCTAAGTGCACCACTCACTCTTTTTCCCTCATCAATTCTATGATTCACCTCATTTTTCATAGACCCATCCGCTGACACGTCCACTCCCAAATATCTGAATACGTTCACCTCCTCCATACTCTCTCCCTCCAATCTGATATTCAATCTTTCATCACCTAATCTTTTTGTTATCCTCATAACCTTACTCTTTCCTGTATTCACCTTTAATTTTCTTCTTTTGCACACCCTACCAAATTCATCCACCAATCTCTGCAACTTCTCTTCAGAATCTCCCAAGAGCACAGTGTCATCGGCAAAGAGCAGCTGTGACAACTCCCACTTTGTGTGTGATTCTTTATCTTTTAACTCCACGCCTCTTGCCAAGAATATACATTAGGATTACAATAGTAGGTTAAAAGTGCATATTTGTTACAAGGAAAAGCCCATGATTATGTATAGCATTTTGGACACTAATACAAGGACTAATACCAACCATATAAAAAAAATATATTACACATGTATGTTCATGAAGTACACACTAAATAAAAATTACTTATATATTTTTCTTATTGTATTCTAAAGTTCTAGATACAGTACTGTACCAGTTCCCTAGAGCAGAACATACTGTATATTACATACACAGGTGTAGACTGTGGCCTGCACACCTTGCCGTAGTATGATAACCATTTAGGAATGAGCAAAAAAGCAAGCAGAGATAAATAATGACTGTGTTTCCTTCACCAAAACAAGTTTGTATTTACAGCATATATATGAGGTCCAACACACAAAAAAAGAGACTAACCCTATAGCTCTGGAACCAAGGCTAAACTCGATCACTTATGAGTGAATGTGTGTTCAGATATAGACATTTTCTTACCCTCAGTTGGAAAATGTCAGAGTGCAAAGGTGAATAGCGAGCTAACATCAAGTTTCTTGTGAAACTGAAGAAATCTGTGATGCAAACTTTTCATTTATTGACTGAGGCATGCATGTCTCATGTACGCATTTCTGAATGGCACAAATGATTTTCTGAAGGCAGATAAAGTGTGAAAGATGATGATTGCCAAGGCTGCTGACACACAGCAGTTACCAATGGCAACACTGAAAAAGTGAAAAATGTGATTCAAAAAGACAGAAGATTGGGTGTTCGAGCAGTAGCTGAGAAAGTTCATTTGGACAGGGAGAGTGTTCGACACATTCTAACAGAAACTGCATGAATACATGAGAAGGAAACGACCAAGACAGTGCACCAGCCCACAATGTTTTGTCTGTGAAACAGTTTTTAGCTAATAAAAGCATCACTGTGCTTGAGCACTCACTCTATTCGCTAGACCTGGCTCCCTGTGACTTCTTCTTCTTCCCAGAGATCAAGCTGGTGCTCAAAGGAATCCATTTTTTGTTGGTAGAAGATGTGAAAGCAAAAACAACAGAGATCCTCAACAGCCTTTCAGAATATGATCTATGGAATTGTTTTGAACACTGGCAACATTGTATGCAGTGGCATGTCAATTCAGAAGGGAACTATTTTGAAGGTGATTATAGTTGATTTTCTTAATTTGTTGAATAAAAAGAGTTACGGACACAGTCTTTTTTTTTTTTTTTTTGTGTTGGACCTCATATACAGTGGACCCTTGGTTATCGGCCATTCCTGTTATCGGCCAACTCAGTGATCGGCTGTTTTTTTGGCTTCCGGTGATCGCCTGTTATTTCGGTGATCAACCGTTTGGGACACGTCCATCCGCCGGCTGGGGCCACTTACTTGCCAGTTTGGCTGTGTCTCTCGGTGTGTGAGGAAGCTTCTGTTCATACATCCAAACATTTCGCTTGTTTTCCATTGTTTTTTGTGGGTTTTTTGCAGTGCAGCTGCAAAATAAGTAACCATGGCTCCGAAGAAAGTTCCTAGTAAAGTTCATGTGGTAAAGAAAGTGAGAAACACCATGGAATTTAAATGTGAAGTGTAGCAGGCATGCAGGGAGTGTAGCAGGCATGCAGGGAGTGTAGCAGGCATGCAGGGAGTGTAGCAGACATGCAGGGAGTGTAGCAGGCATGCAGGGAGTGTAGCAGACATGCTGGGAGTGTAGCAGGCATGCAGGGAGTGTAGCAGGCATGCAGGGAGTGTAGCAGGCATGCAGGGAGTGTAGCAGGCATGCAGGGAGTGTAACAGGCATGCAGGGAGCGTAGCAGGCATACAGGGAGTGTAGCAGGCATGCAGGGAGTGTAGCAGGCATGCAGGGAGTGTAGCAGGCATGCAGGGAGTGTAGCAGGCATGCAGGGCATGCAGGGAGTGTAGCAGGCATGCAGGGCATACAGGGAGTGTAGCAGGAATGCAGGGAGTGTAGCAGGCATGCAGGGAGTGTAGCAGGCATGCAGGGAGTGTAGCAGGCATGCAGGGAGTGTAGCAGGCATGCAGGGAGTGTAGCAGACATGCAGGGAGTGTAGCAGGCATGCAGGGAGTGTAGCAGGCATGCAAGGAGTATAGAGGAAATGCAGGGAGTGTAGCAGGCATGCAGGATGTAGCAGGCATGCAGGGAGTGTAGCGGGACATGCAGGGAGTGTAGCAGGCATACAGGGAGTGTAGCAGGCATGCAGGGAGTGTAGCAGGCATGCAGGGAGTGTAGCAGGCATGCAGGGAGTGTAGCAGGCATGCAGGGAGTGTAGCAGGCATGCAGGGAGTGTAGCAGGCATACAGGGAGTGTAGCAGGCATGCAGGGAGTGTAGCAGGCATGCAGGAGTGTAGCAGGCATGCAGGGAGTGTAGCAGGCATGCAGGGAGTGTAGCAGGCATACAGGGAGTGTAGCAGGCATGCAGGGAGTGTAGCAGGCATGCAGGGCATACAGAGAGTGTAGCAAGTATGCAGGGAGTGTAGCAGGCATGCAGGGAGTGTAGCAGGCATGCAGGGAGTGTAGCAGGAATGCAGGGGGTGTAGCAGGCATGCAGGAAGTGTAGCAGGCATGCAGGGAGTGTAGCAGGCATGCAGGGAGTGTAGCAGGCATGCAGGGGGTGTAGCAGGCATGCAGGGAGTGTAGCAGGCATGCAGGGAGTGTAGCAGGCATGCAGGGAGTGTAGCAGGCATGCAGGGAGTGTAGCAGGCATGCAGGGAGTGTAGCAGGCATGCAGGGAGTGTAGCAGGCATGCAGGGAGTGTAGCAGGCATGCAGGTAGTGTAGCAGGCATGCAGGGAGTGTAGCAGGCATGCAGGGAGTGTAGCAGGCATACAGGGAGTGTAGCAGGCATGCAGGGAGTGTAGCAGGCATGCAGGGAGTGTAGCTGGCATGCAGGGAGTGTAGCAGGCATGCAGGGCATACAGGGAGTGTAGCAGGCATGCAGGGAGTGTAGCAGGCATGCAGGGAGTATAGCAGGCATGCAGGGAGTGTAGCAGGCATGCAGGGAGTGTAGCAGGCATGCAGGGAGTGTAGCAGGAATGCAGGGGGTGTAGCAGGCATGCAGGGAGTGTAGCAGGCATGCAGGGAGTGTAGCAGGCATGCAGGGAGTGTAGCAGGCATGCAGGGGGTGTAGCAGGCATGCAGGGAGTGTAGCAGGCATGCAGGGAGTGTAGCAGGCATGCAGGGAGTGTAGCAGGCATGCAGGGAGTGTAGCAGGCATACAGGGAGTGTAGCAGGCATACAGGGAGTGTAGCAGGCATACAGGGAGTGTAGCAGGCATACAGGGAGTGTAGCAGGCATACAGGGAGTGTAGCAGGCATACAGGGAGTGTAGCAGGCATACAGGGAGTGTAGCAGGCATGCAGGGAGTGTAGCAGGCATGCAGGGAGTGTAGCAGGCATGCAGGGAGTGTAGCAGGCATGCAGGGAGTGTAGCAGGCATGCAGGGAGTGTAGCAGGCATACACGGAGTGTAGCAGGCATGCACGGAGTGTAGCAGGCATGCAGGGAGTGTAGCAGGCATGCAGGGAGTGTAACAGGCATGCAGGGAGTGTAGCAGACATGCAGGGAGTGTAGCAGACATGCAGGGAGTGTAACAGGCATGCAGAGAGTGTAGCAGGCATGCAGGGAGTGTAGCAGGCATGCAGCTAGTGTAATAGGCATGCAAGGAGTGTAACAGGCATGCAGGGAGTGTAGCAGGCATGCAGAGAGTGTAGCAGGCATGCAGGGAGTGTAACAGGTCTGCAAAGAGTGTAGCAGGCATGCAGGGAGTGTAGCAGGCATGCAGGAAGTGTAGCAGGCATGCAGAAAGTGTAGCAGACATGCAGGAAGTGTAGCAGGCATGCAGAAAGTGTAGCAGGCATGCAGAAAGCCAGCATTAGTCTTCAATAAAGGTATGTAATACTGATTTAATTGTTAAAAAAATATTTTTTTGTGAATATTTTTGTCTGGAACGGATTAATTGTATTTACATTAATTCTTATGGGAAATATTATTTCGGTTTTCGGCCATATCGTTTTTAGGCCGAGCCTCTGTAGTGGATTACAGCCGATTATCAAGGGTCCACTGTATATATCCTATGTACAGTATTTACAGCTATGTACAATGAGGCAAAAATGCAAACACAAGATATGGTGAGAACTGCAGTGACCAGCAGTGTAGGCAAGTCTGCCAAAGTTGTTTTACAAGTGTACCACATCGCTTCACAGCTTTGGTGGGCTTTCTTTTGATTAGCTTGTTGAACCTAAGTAGTACTAGTATAATGACAGGGCCCCTGATCGTTAAAGCCTTAGCACCTGGTTCGCTTGTCAGGAGGCATGCCTGTATGGGAGTGTGACATATGCTGAATAAATGTAACATATTCTTAGCATGCCACATTGTATTAATCACTGAATCTAAAATGTTGTTTTCACACTGTATATAAACCATAACCCGGCCAGGATTGAACCCGTGGTCAGAGAGTCTCAAAACTCCAGCCCGTCGCGTTAGCCACTAGTGGCTAACGCGACGGGCTGGAGTTTTGAGACTCTCTGACCGCGGGTTCAATCCCGGCCGGGGTATGGTTTGTTTGCAATCGTGTCATTACAATTTCGTGAGACACTGTGTATATTTTTGCAGAGTTCCCAGCAACAGAATTATTCCTTTTGGAATGAAAGACAATTTCTGGGAGATGGGAATGTTTGGTCCTTGTGGTCCCTGTACCGAAATCCACTATGACCGCCGAGGATATCCACTTGCTTCACACAGAGTCAACCTTGGTGTGGAGGATGTAATAGAGTTGTGGAATATAGTGTTCATCCAGTATGAAAGTTAAGTTGTATGTCTTATTATTTATTAGGTCTACCAGTTTTTAAAATTTGTTGAAAAATAAATACTAATACAAGTACCATCCGGCTTACAACCTAGCTTGGTTTTGACCAACCGGTTTTAAGTCAAAATGGATGCAAGTCGAACCTTAGAAAATTGCCGACGTACTGGGTAGGGCATAATGTCAAACCTTTGCTATATAAAGTACCTACATATTATCGTATGTTATTTTTTACTAAATATTTTACTACTGTATATGCTGCCAGATGTATGTTACTTTTTACTAAATATTTTATTACTGTATATGCTGCCAGACGTATGTTACTTTTTACTAAATATTTTACTACTGTATATGCTGCCAGACATACGGTCGTAAGTACGAGTGGTCGTATGTTGAGCAGGTCGTAAGTCGGAGGGTACTTGTACTACTACTAATAACAACAACATAGTTATTACAGTTATTACAATGGATGGGTTAACAGTTGGCTTATGTTCAGAAAAACTAATTGTATGTCCTAAGGAAAGTTCCTGGTTAAGCAAAACATTGAGCAGAGTCTAAAATTAGTACAGACGGGCCCCACTTTACAGTGCTTAGCTTATGCAGCAGTTTTCAATTATATCCATTCTTCATTTATTCAGACTTACTACAATACATATATTCACCACTCATTATAAGCTAAGGATGAACATATTTTAAGGTAAGTAATGTGTGTACTGTATATGCATATTTTTATGACTAGCTCTATTGCTCACTTAACTTTAAACTGTCCAAACGTTAATCTATGTTTTCACTGCTAGCGCTCCAAATATTTTGATTTTTTTTTTAATAAAGAGGGTAGTTTTCTATGTTTAGTAAAAAGAAAATTAGGGTCAGTACTTACTGAGATATAAGGCCGAAAAGTTGGTGCTGGATGCTCACCTAACGGCAACATGGAGTCCTGCCACTTGCAGAAATGTTGGTGATGTGCCTTTTTTTCTCATTTTTTTTTTTTTAATTTACATTATTTTTATGTTCTGATAATTACATTTTCCTAGGTAGTAGGTTGGTAGACAACAACCGCCCAGGGAGGTACTACCGTCCTGCCAAGTGAGTGTAAAACGAAAGCCTGTAATTGTTTTACATGATGGTAGAATTGCTGGTGTCTTTTGTCTGTCTCATAAACATGCAAGATTTCAGGTACGTCTTACTACTTCTACTTGCACTTAGGTCACACTACACATACATGTACAAACATATAGTATATATACACACCCCTCTGGGTTTTCTTCTACAGTGGACCCCCGCATAATGATATTAATCCGTGCATGAGAGCTCATTGTTATGCGAAATTATCGTTATGCGGATGAATTTTCCCCATAAGAAATAATGGAAATCAAATTAATCCGTGCAAGACACCCCAAAGTATGAAAGAAAAATATTTTTAACACATGAAATATTAATTTTAATACACACAAACTGAAAAAGGCATGCACAATTACATGACACTTACCTTTATTGAAGATCTGGTGATGATTGATGGGATGGGAGGAGGAGAGAGTCTTAATGTTTAGAAGGGGAATCCCCTTCCATTAAGACTTGAGGTGTCAAGTCCTTTTCTGGGGTTACTTCCCTTCTTCTTTTAATGCCACTAGGACCAGCTTCAGAGTCACTGGACTTCTGTCGCACAACATATCTGTCCATAGTGGCCTGTACCTCTCGTTCCTTTATGACTTCCCTAAAGTGTTTCACAACATTGTCAGTGTAATAGTCACCAGCACGGCTTGCAATAGCTGTGTGAGGGTAAGTTTCATCCATAAAGGTTTGCACTTTCAGCCACATTGCACAGATTTCCTTAATCTTTGTAGTAGGCAACTTCTTCAATTTCTCTCTCCCCTCCTCCGAACCAGTTTCCTCAGGTCTGGCCTCTTGCTGTTGAAGTTGATCTATCAGCTCATCAGTGGTTAGTTCTTCATTGTCCTCCTCCACCAACTCTTCCACATCATCCCCACTAACCTCCAACTCCAAGGACTTCCCCAATGCCACAATTGATTCCTCAACTGGCATACTCCTCTCAGGGTTAGCCTCAAATCCTTCAAAATCCCTTTTGTCTACACATTCTGGCCACAGTTTCTTCCAAGCAGAGTTCAAGGTCCTCTTAGTCACTCCCTCCCAAGCCTTACCTATAAGGTTTACACAATTGAGGATATTAAAGTGATCTCTCCAAAACTCTCTTAGAGTCAGTTGAGTTTCTGAGGTCACTACAAAGCACCTTTCAAACAGAGCTTTTGTGTACAGTTTTTTGAAGTTTGCAATAACCTGCTGGTCCATGGGCTGCAGGAGAGGAGTGGTATTAGGAGGCAAAAACTTCACCTTAATGAACTTCATGTCTCCATAAAGTCGCTCTGCCACGTCTGTAGGATGACCAGGGGCATTGTCTAACACCAGGAGGCACTTAAGGTCTAATTTCTTTTCAGTTAGGTAATCTTTCACATTGGGGGCAAATGCATGGTGTAACCAGTCATAGAAAAGTCCCTAGTGACCCATGCCTTACTGTTTGCCCTCCACAGCACACACAAATTAGCCTTGAGGATATTCTTTTGTCTGAATGCTCTGGGAGTTTCTGAGTGATACACTAATAAAGGCAATCACCAGTAGCATTGGAACACATCAACAGAGTAAGCCTGTCTTTCATAGGCTTATGTCCTGGGAGTGCCTTTTCCTCCTGAGTAATGTAGGTCCTGCTTGGCATTTTCTTCCAAAACAGGCCTGTTTCATCACAATTAAACACTTGTTCAGGTTTCAGTCCTTCACTTTCTATGTACTCCTTGAATTCCTGCACATTTTTCAGCTGCTTTGTGGTCCGAACTGGCAGCCTCACCATGCCTTATCACACTATGTATGCCACTACGCTTCTTAAATCTCTCAAACCAACCTTTGCTGGCCTTAAATTCACTCACATCATCACTAGTTGCAGGCATTTTTTTAATTAAGTCCTGATGCAACTTCCTAGCCTTTTCACTTATGATCACTTGAGAGATGCTATCTCCTGCTACCTGTTTTTCATTTGTCCACACCAATAAGAGTCTCTCAACATCTTCCATCACTTGCGATCTCTGTTTCGAAAACACAGTTGAACCTTTGGCAAGAACAGCTTCCTTGATTGCCTTTTTTGTTGCCCACAATAGTAGCGATGGTTGACTGGGGTTTATTATACAACCTGGCCAGCTCGGAGACACGCACTCCACTTTCATACTTATCAATGATCTCTTTCTTCATATCTATAGTAATTCTCACCCTTATTCCTGTAGGGTTGGCACTAGAAGCTTTCTTGGGGCCCATGGTCACTTATTTTGCAGATAAAATCACCAAAAACACTGTAATAATATGAAATATTCCGATTGTATGCTTGGATGTTACCGCGGAGGCTGGCTGGTAAACAATGCCACCGGCGGAACATGTGAGGCTGGCTAAGGCCGCACATTAGACGCGTCTCGGACGAACAGCGTTGAGCGGGTTTTTTAGCGGTATGCGAGGCAAAATCTTAGCGATAAAACGTGTTGGTATGCGGATTTAACGTTATGTAAGGCCAATGGTATGCGGGGGTCCACTGTATTTTCTTTCTGGTTCTTGTTCTTGTTTGTTTCCTCTTACCTCCATGGGGAAGTGGAACAGAATTTCTCCTCCGTAAGCCGTGCATGTTGTAAGAGGCGACTAAAATGCCAGGAGCAAGGAGCTAGTAACCCCTTCTTCTGTATATATTACTAAATGTAAAAGGAGAAACTTTCATTTTTCACACTGGGATGCGGCCGGTGTGTTGAAAGAAAGAATTACATTTTGTAGTACAGTGGTCCCTCATTTTTCGTAATTAATCCATTCCTGGAGCCTTTACTATAAACGAAATTTACGATTTACGAATCAATTTTCCCCATAAGAAATAATGTAAATACAATTAATCCATTCCTGACACCCAGAAGTATTAAAACAAAAAAATTTTTTACATGAAATATACATGTAGTACATAAACAATACAATGGGAAATGATGAATGAAACATTAACAGCATAACACTTACCTTTATTGAAGATTCTTCTTAGTGTATGGGAGACTGGAGGAGGAGAGAGAGTGGATTGTTTATAGTTTGGAAGAGGAATCCCCTTCCAGCAACACCTCAGGTACCAATTGCTTTTCTGGGGTTGCTTGTCTTCTCTGTTTCTTAATGCCACTAGGACCACCTTGAGAGTCACTGGAGTCCTGTCTCACAAAATAACTGTGGAGAGAGCTCTGTTTCTGGTGTCTCTTTAACAATTCCCTAAAATGGCCCAAGACTTTGTCACTGTACATGTTGCCAACCTGGCTTGCAACAACCTTGTTAGGATGATGTTTCTCCATAAAGCTTTCCATCTTACCCCACATAGTAAAAATCTCTTTAATTTCTGAAGAAGGCACCTTCTTCCATCTCTCTTCCTCCTCCTCTGCAGCAAGATTCTGAGCTGCGATGTGTTGCTTTTCCTGCTGAAGCTCTTGCAGCTCCTCAGTGGTGAGCTCTTCGTTGTGGTCTTCCACCAATTCTTCTACATCCTCCAAACTCACATCCAACCCCATGGAACTCCCCAGTGCCACAATTGATTTTACAACAGACATAGGCTCATCAGGGTCAGTCCCAAACCCTTCAAAATCCCTCTTGTCGACACAATCTGGCCACAATTTTCTCCAGGCAGAGTTCAAAGTCCTGGTAGTCACTCCCTCCCAAGCCATACCTATAAGGGTTATGCAATGGAGGATGCTGAAGTGTTCTCTCCAAAATTCCCTTAGGGTCAAGTGAGTGTCTGTGGTCACAGTGAAGCACCTGTGAAACATTGCTTTTGTGTAGAGTTTTTTAAAGTTTGCAATGACCTGCTGGTCTATGGGCTGGATGAGAGGAGTGGTATTCGGGGGCAAGAACTTAACTGTGATGAGCCCAAACTCCTCGAAAATTAGGTCATCCAAGTTTGGAGGATGAGCAGGTGCATTGTCCATTACTAACAGGCACTTGAGATCCAATTTCTTTTCCAGGAGATACTCCTTTACACTAGGGCCAAACACTTCATTGAACCACTCGACGAAAATTTCCCTCGTGACCCATGCCTTACTATTAGATTTCCAAAACACACACAATTTACTCTTCCTAACATTGTTTTTCCTGAACACTCTGGGATTTTCAGAATGGTACACTAGTAATGGCTTCACTTTGAAATCCCCACTAGCATTAGCACTAGCATTAGCACAGAACATTAGCGTCAGCCTGTCTTTCATAGGCTTGTGCCCAGGCATTGCCTTTTCCTCGCATTTTCTTCCAAAAGAGGCCTGTTTCATCACAATTGAACACTTGTTCAGGTTTCAGTCCTTCAGCCTCTATGTACTCCTGGAATTCATGCACATATTTTTCAGCCGCCTTGTGGTCCGAACTGGCAGCCTCACCATGCCTTACCACACTGTGTATGCCAGTATGGTTCTTAAATCTCTCAAACCAGCCTTTGCTGGCCTTAAATTCACCCACATCACCACTATTTGCAGGCAATTTCTTCACCAAATCTTCATGCAACTGCCTAGCCTTTTCACAAATAATCGAAGTCATAAGAGTATCTCCTGCTAATTGTTTCTCATTTATCCACACCAATAATAACTTCTCAACCTCTTCCAGTACTGGTGATCTCATTTTTGTCAGCATAGTTACCCCCTTTGCAACAACAGCATCCTTGATTTCCTTTTTCTTGGCCACTATGGAACATAAGGCTGTGTAGGGTTTCTTATACATCCTGGACAGTTCGGCCACACTTGTACCACTTTCATATTGTTCAATGATGGTTTTCTTAAATTCTCACCTTCTTTACCACAGGCTTGGCACTAGGAGCTTTCTTTGGAGCCATGGTAGCTTATTTAGTGCTTGCAAGCACTAAAATAAATGGAATAGTATTATGAAATATTTCGCTGGAGCACGTGAGGGGACCTTCACTCACTGGTAAACAATGCCAGACTGGCTGCTGCCCTGGCTCACGCCGTGGGTACGAGTCCCGAACGAACTACGACTCGCGAGTCAACCTATGAAAAGTG